ACTTTGGTTGTAAATTCAGGTTACGCTGCAGCAGGTGCCTTCAGGGTAACTCTTGTAGTAATTCTGGGAATGACAAGTGCCTGAGAATTCAAACTCTTCAATAGACTGTTATGGTGTGTTACTGGAACGTTTCTCAGTGAGTCCTTCCGTGCGGACCTGTGTTCTTTGCGCGTTTTGTGAGTTGAGAATGTTGTTCACCGCGTATGAGTGACTTCGATCCAAAGTAGAAGGTCCAACCCGGGTTCCCTACGCTAGCAGAAAGCTAGTGGGAGGGTTGTAAAAGCCGGAGTTGGGAGTCACTACCCGCAGCTTCGCTGAGTGTACTCGCGAGAGACTTTCCCCCTGAAATCTTAAGTAGAGGTCCTAACCGATCTCTGGGTTGTGTTTCTGTAGTTTCAGGTGTGTGTGTGTTGAGTGAACTACGCTGCACTGTGCGACCTCCGAGTGAGCTCCGAGTGAACACTTGCAGTATTTCTGGGAGTGATAGTCGCCTGAGAATTCAAACTCCTCAATAGTCTGTTAAATGTGACACTTTGTACCCTGTGTGTTCCTCTGTCCCTGTGGGTTCGACCTTTCTACCACTATATTGCAGTTTTAGCCTTTAGTGGGTTATTACAGTCATCGAAATCTTTCCGAACGGATCCATCCAACTTGCAGACTTGACGGGAGAGTTACTAGGCACCCGAGTGAACGGATGGCGTTTGAAGAAATACCACGTATGAGTGTTCGCGTGGGCTCTCACAATTGAGGAGGGGAGCACACAAAGTGGGTTACCACACACATCCGAAGTAGGAAATCCAACCCAGGTGCCTTGCGCTAGCAGAAACTAATGGAAGGGTTGTAAAAGCCGGAGTTGGGAGTCACTACCTGCAGAGCCTCTAAATGTACTCGTGAAAAACTTTCCCCCTGAAATCTTAAGTAGAGGTCCTAACCGACCTCTGAGTTGTGCTTTTCCAGTTTCAGGTGTGTGTTGGGTGAACTACGCTGCACTGTGCGTCCTCCGAGTGACCTCCGAGTTGAGCACTTGCAGTATTTCTGGGAGTGACAGTCGCCTGAGAATTCAAACTCTTCAATAGTCTGTTCAACGTGACACTTTGTACTCTGTGTGTTGCCTTTGTCCTTGTGGGTTCGAGCTTTTTGCTGCTATACTGCAGTTTTAGCCTTTGGTGGGTTATTACACCAACATACTGAAATGCACTCATACGGTAGAAAATGCCAACATCGTCCATGATATAAGGTCGCTTGGGAGCTCTCGCCGGCTGAAGCATTTGAGAATACTGAATGATATTGTCCACTTTTGACATGAAAGCACTGGACGTTGACTCTAGTTGTTGTTGCAAAGAGAGTATCTGTCCCACCTTATTTTCCAATCTTGCACAATGCTCACCACTGATCTCAACCCCTCATCCACACAATCAAACCTTCGTCCCATATTTCCTTCTAGCTTATCTATCTTGGACAAAATAACTTGGTTTGAAATATTTTCTACACTTGTGCTTGCCTGACTTAAGCAGTTGGATGAAGGTCGATTGGAGTCTTTCATATCAGGAGATTTTGAATAGTTAATCATGTTTTCATCTTCAGGGTGAGACTCAACCAAATCATTGTTCACCTTGATTAAACCTTGCTGCAATGACTCCAATTGTTGCAATCGCTTCTGTCGGATCTCATTCACAACCGCTTCCACGTCGCTTTCCCACAGCAACTCCCTAGCTCTTTTGAATATGTGTGCTCTTTAATCAAGGGCCAAGAGTGCTCATAGTTGAATAACTCATCTTCTTTCTACAAGAGTAATATCCTTAAGTTTGTCATTGATGCTACAAATGAATTTCGATTTCAGATCCTCGATTAGAATTGCCTCTCTCAGATAACTCAAAATCAACATCTCCACGCAAATTGTTTGGATCACACCAAGCACTAACGCCACCCCGGGACAGCCTTTGGATGATGCGCAAATGATATTAACTCCAAGACGATATGCTTCATCACATATTTCAGGATCCCCTCCCTTGATTTATACTTCAAGCATAACATCAGAATATCTACATAAGTGTGGGACGTATCTTGTTTTAATGCGTCAAGTTGCAATTGTAACTTGTGTACATGAATGCAATCTTCCCTTTTCATTGTTTGAATTCATTTTTTGAAATGCGCAGCTATATACCATATTTACCATAATATTTACCTAATTTTGTATTATTGTATATGTTCATGAGACGCAAGTTGATATCCGAGATGCATGTTCACAAGGAGACTTTGATCTGCTCTCGACATTATGTGATACTTTTTCTTGATGGGCACAAATTGTCTGAAAATGTGTTGTGAGGAAAACTTTCCCGTACTGATCTCAGCGTTAGCACTTATAAGATATTATAGACCTCTACTACTGCAGCCTCAAGATCAATTCCTTCGGAATGAACTCCCTTGCTTATAGACTTTACAGCAGACAATCACGCTGCTACTAAATCACCTTTTCTGTCACTCCTGACAGCAGTTCCAAAATAAGCAGATACATTGTTATGATTGTTAACAAATTGTTCCGGCCAACCACCTAGTTCAGAGAAAATTTAGGATAGATGACAATTTAGGCGTGACCAATCTAGCTAGCTGCAGTCACATATCTAAGAAGTCATTCAGATTCTTACCTCTTCACATAACGAGGTAGCCATGGAGCCTCCTGTCAGATAATGCGTACCACGTAGAAAGTAGATGCGGCGTCTATCATTATGATTTCGTCTGAAATAACGTCTCGTCACTGTATGGTACTGTGGTCGTGTACGTAATATGCTGACAAGCGAGAACTCGGTTCTTGTAAACAGATGTTATAGTGAAGAAAGATGTCACAGGACATGGAAAATCGCTTTTTTAACTGTCGTTTTTAACGTTGGTTTAACGCTACACAGATTCTTACTTCTTCACCTTCTTTCTCACAAACTCTGCACCATCCTCAACGTAAAACTGCAGTTTCTTTCCAATCACAGGCTAAACATCTGACAAGGAGGTCTGCGCGCTGGTTTTGTCTCTCCCAGACCCTGCCGCTAGAATGCATGACGAGTGTTGCGAATTCCAGGTGAGGAAAGTCCACATCTTGAACACTGCGTGTGATCGGACAAACGGATTAGTTAGGCAAACGGATTGTACACCGCAATCAAGCTGTGAGTCTCGCTAAACTTGAGTGAGGTTGAGTTGGAAGAATCAGAATGATTTTTTCTGGACTACATTGGTAGATGTACAATCTCGAGTCATGCACCGAATCGAGTATGGATATCCTTCTCCGTTCACTTCATCCCATTGACCATGACCTCTAGTCTCTGATCTCGACAAAATATTTAAAGGTGGTGATCACCAACCTTACAGAGGTATAGCTTCGTCCACTTCAGGCCCATGCCTCTGCAATCCAACCATACACGATAAAGATTATGCGTGATAAATGTAGACTCAAAATTTTCAACGGAAATCACGCTCACTTCGATATTCAGCAAACGATGTTCTCCATCCTCTTTTAAAAAAATACTCGATATTGAAGTCAAATTTCTGCAAGAGTATCTGTAACTGAACGTCCACACACAGTCCAACTGCAAAAGCATGCGTGCTACGAAATTACCTCATTTATACAAGTCACAGTTCTGAGCGTGCTGGCGCTGATCATTCTGCTGAGATCACGGCCAGCGCAAGCATTTCATCAGGGTCTTTCACACAGAGACCTTAGCATGACCTGAACCATGGCTTACTAGAACTGAACTCTTGGGATGTGGATGATTCTTTCTGCATGTTCAACAGGTTCAAGGAGGGCAGCGATGCCGACTCCTCGAATACCTTTAAAGTAGAAAGATTAAGCTGGGAATAATCGAGACAGGGGAAGAGACATACGGAACAAAAACACATCAACAATTTTATCAATGGCGCTTCATTTCTGGTTTAGCAGATGCAAGCTAAATTATCATCACGTCTCGAGTCAATAGTAGATGACCTGTAATGATGTATGGTCAGTAACTCCCGTGAGTGTATGCACATAACTCTCTTCGTCCGTCGTAACGTTCTCTTCGTAAGATAGAAAGAATATCTCTCGTCTAAGCGAAACAGGATACGTTTCAGCTCACTACAAGAGAATCTATGTCAATTTCGAGAAACTTGATCTCTCAAGTTTCCACTTTGTCTCGCATATGATGCATGAAGCCTTCATTGATTCATACTTTACGGACCACCTCACCTCTACAATTCGAAGCTACAGTTTCAGACATTTTTCATCTTAGAATGGAAACAGTATACGTTTCAGCACACTACAGAAGACTTTATGTCAGTTTCGACAGTCTTGATTTCATAAGTTTCCTCTTCGTCTAGCATATGATGCATGAAGTCTTCATTGATTGATACTTTACGCTCCATTTCGTCCCTGCATTTCTGAGCGAGTATGGATTTCACTAGTATGTATTAAATTTGATTTTATAACGGGAACTACAGCAATTCGGCACCTGGATAACAATATCCAGCGCTGGATACATTTGCATATCAGATCTTTTGTGAAAGATGAATGATGGAAGGTTGTGATTTCATTAGCAGCTTATTGGCATCAATAAAGTATCCATCTCCGGGCATTACATACATTGTGTACTTCTGATGATGGCAGAATCGAGATTTGTTGAAAATATTTATCAGTACACCTGATGGCTCTGTTTGTCAAGCTTTCAAAGAAAGATTGTAGATCTGATAACACGACATCATTTGAGGAAGTGTGTGAAGCTGTACCGATACCGCTAATTGTAAGCTGTAGTAAATTATCAAATTACAATAAGGGGCAGAAGCTGATGTGTTGAATAGCTCTCGTGCTTAAATAATGCTACAAACTCTAAAAATTAAAAGAACATAACCTTCAATCCTCTCCATTCTACAGTTGTTGGACCCTCGTCATTCAAAACAATCATACAGGTCTATGTATTGGAATTCAAGACTGACCAGTGGTCAGTCTTGAATCAAAATTTTTGTCCATAATGTGGAAATTTGATAGTTTAGCCAAATTCTGATTTCTTCAGAAACATAACTGCGCGATTGACATGATTGCATAGATTTTTAAAATACTTGTACAAGTGAAAAATCTATGGAAGATTTTGCAGAAGTTCATGTTGCATGAGGATCTAAACATATGCTTGTCATTTGCATAATGACATTCTAACCTCTTCAAATTCCTAAACCACGACCTTTATTCATGCACTCCTCGCACACCCATGCATGCCCACCTAACTCTAGTCTCACGTATTTCACCTGATACAACTTGAAGATTGCCGAATAGTTAATAGGCGCAAGAGTTTGCTGAATCCTCAACCATGCTTCTTTCAGCTCCTTGCTTTCTCCACCTTTTAGAACTGCCCTACGATCACGATTGCTAATGCCATCTAGTTTAACTATATCAGATTTTAAATCTGCCCAGTCCGGAATCGCTTGGCCTAATCCGAGGGTCACATCCAGTCCAGCCTTCACAACATAATACATAACTTTGAGTGAGATTTCAATAGTTTTTCGAATCCACGCTCCATTCTCTTGATCCAAACGTATTTTCAAACCTTGTTGATCTTTGACAATGTGAAACCCAGTCACCGACTCACACATCAAGTGTAATCGTACGGTTGTCCCGACATGCAAACGAGCACTCATCCTACAGAAAACGCCAACATCATCCGTAACATAAGGTCGCTTGGGAATTATCGCCTGCTGAAGCGATTGAGTATACTGAATGATCCTGTCCACTTTAGACAAGAAGATACTCAACGTTGAATGAAGCTCTTGTTGCAAAGAGAGTATCTGTCCCACCTTAATATCCAGTCTCTGCACAATGCTCTCCACTGACCTCAACCCCTCATCCACACCATCAAACCTTCGTCCCATATTTCCTTCTAGCATATCTATCTTGGACAAAATAAGTTGGGTTGAACGATTTTCTACACTTGTGCTCGCCCCACTTAAGCACCTGGATGAAGTTCTATTGAAGTCTTTCATATCAGGAAAATTTGAATTGCTAGCCATGTTCTCATCTTCAGGGTGAGAATGAACCAAATCATCGTTCACGCTGATTAAACCTTGCTGCAATGATTCCAATTGTTGCAATCGATTCTGTAGGATCTCATTCACAACAATTTCCACATCACTCTCCCGCAACAACTCCCTAGCTCTTTCGAATATAACCCGTGTTGTGTGCCCTTTTATCAAGGGCCAAGAGTGCTCATAGTTGAACAACTCATCTTCCTTCTCCAAGTGCGATTTATCCAACGGAATATCCTCAAGTTTGTCATTGATGCTGCGAATGAATTTCGATTTCAGATCCTCGATTAAAATTGCTCCTCTCAGATGACTTGGAATCAACATCTCCACGCAAATTGTTTGGATGACACCAAGCACTAATGCCACTCCGGGACAGCCTTTGGGTGATGCGCAAAATGATATCAACTCCTGAACGATATGCTTCATCACGTATTTCAGGGCCCACTCCCTTGATTTATACTTTGAGCATAACATCAGAACATCCACATAACTGTGGGACCTATCTTGTTCGACGTGGATCTCATGCCCATCAAGAAAAAGTCGCAGATAATGTCGAGAACAGATCACAGTCTCCTTGGAAACATGCATCTCCAATATCACCTTGCGTCTCATGAACATCTACAATAATATAATATTTGGTAAACATTGAGCTGCGCGTTTCAAAAAATAAATTCAAGCAATGAAAAGGAAACATTGCATTCACTGTACATAAGTTACAATCAGAACTTGACAAATTCAATCTTCTCAAAGTATATATGAAATCACCTGGAAGCATGGAAAAAAAGCAGCGGTTAGCGACATTGTTCTTTCATCTTCGCATTGAATCCGGATGCCGACAAACTTTGAGGTGTCAACCCTAGTTTTCCAAACCATGGACTCCACGTGTGCCCCTTCTTGATGCTTCTGTCCTTCCGTGCTTACATGCTCAGGTATGAAGGAGGGTATGAAATACTCAGAAGTATCTTTGAGCTTGAAACACAAATCTAAGTTGATAAGGATGTTTTCAATCACCTCTCTGTCCACAATTTTCTCCGCATGTGGCTGCTTGCTCACAAACTCCTCTGTCAACCGAGCAAAGACACTCTCACTCACAAATCCGTCCATGCTTGTGTACAAGTCACTTGGCATCGTTTTGCGAGAACATCCAGACTCTTCAGCTTGAAAGTCTTGACCCAGAGCTACCAACTCACCCAATAATGTATTGGTAAGCCAGTTGGGATCTACAATGATGCAATCAAGGTTAGGGATAGAAACTATGGATCCTGCATCATTCAAATAGGATAAAATTGATTTCATTATCCTTGAATGATTAACAGCGTGAACAGAAGAAAATGGAATGAATTGTGTCAAGCTAGAGGCGCAGAAGTCATAAAATTTTGTGGATGACCAAAGAGGGCAACTTTTATTCTCCTTGGTGTTTTTAATCAAAAGGGAAGAGAGTTGAGAACACAGATGAGGAACCTGTGGGGATTTTTCACTCAACAACTTCTTGAAAATCTCAATAATGTGATTTTTGAGAGGAATAACTTGCTTCTTTTTTCGAGCATTCACATGAAAACACTCTTGAACAGGATGCAGATCCACAAATTTTACAAATCTTTCTGTGAGATCTTTCACTATGGGGTGAATCCAAGTCAAAGACTTGAATCTGGTTTTATCCTTGTGTGTAATCACAACAAGAACTTGTGGACGATTATGTCCTGTGACCCTAGAGCTGGATGTGATGAATCTCAACCATTCCTCCAATTCTCTTTGGAAACAAGAATCTTTTTTGTCTGAAGATGTATTTTCATCAAAATGGCTATACACAAAGAGAAAAACACAAAAATTGCTGGTTTGAGGGAATAGCACACTCTGAAGGGTACGAAAAATCTCCTGTCCTGCAAGATCCCAGATTGAGATTTGGCTTTTGTCATTGTTTGACAAGAACTCCACTTCGATGCCTTGAGTCCTCCACAATTTGTCCCATTTGTTTCCAAGCCAACTTTTGCCTTGTACTATCCTCATGAGGGTTTGACGTAATTGAGTTTTGCCTATAGATTGATAACAGATAACCACAAAAAATATAATTTGTTAGATGAGATACCATTACAGATTGCTTGATACCATATTTTTTAAATATAATGTGTTTATATTGGGAAGAAATCCAAATTACACATTAAATTTTGAAATCATTAAAAATATCTTACTTTTAATTTGAATTCGTTAATATTTGAAACTTACTTTTTCATATTTCCGTTTTATTTTTCACACATAGCCAAATACATCTAGAAAAATAACAAATTTCATAGTATCATCTTAAATTTTGAAAGTAAAATCTTAGATTGCTAGTTCAAAATAAGAAGAAGTTACAGAGCACGTCACCTGCTCTAGGGGAACCGCATAAGAAGAGTCGACCAGCTTTTGCATCTCCAAATTCCAATTTGGCTTCTCTGAAGACAGACATGTAAACCGCCCGCATCTGGTTCTGTTGTAGGGCCTCTTTGATCTGCGCCGCCTTTCCATCGGTTTCCCATGAGGTTCCTTTGACATCTATTTTCTGGAGAGTCAAGTTAACTTGCAGTAGCCCCATCAGGTCCCTGAAGGAATCTTCGTTGAGTTCGGACCTTTTCAAATCCAAGTGAGTGATACTTGTGTTCCCTCGCAAGTACCCAATCAGGGCCCTGAAGGCATCTTCGTCGAGTTTGGAGTTATGCAAAGCCAAGTGAGTGAGACTTGTGTTCCCTCGCAAGCACCCAAGCAAGCATCCAAGCAGTTTCTTCCACGCTCCCTTCGAAAGATTCTCGTTTCGAAAGATCATCAGTTTCTGCAGGACTGAAGTTTCTCCAGTTTTTCCATTCATGGACAGGATTCTTCCAATTCTATCTTGGTTGCTATCTAAAGTGACAAGAGGTAGGCCCGATATACCGAAAGATGTAAAGGATTTGATTTCACCGCGCAGTACCCGAACTAATAGGTTTAGTGATAACAAAAAGTCATGATCACTATGAGCAACCAGCCAAAAGCTCATGGGCTCCTTGACATGGGAGCTAGCAGCACACGCAAGAGCTTCTATTGACCTCCAGTTATCTCTAGCATTGTGCTCTAATTCAAATGATACAAAAATGCGTTTTGCTATAGCATTGTCACGTATGAATTCGCCTAGCTGGTGCCATTCCTCATAACTCATCCGTATGGAACACAAGTTTACTGCCTTCAATGATGCGTCGGAAGTAAGAAGTTGCCTCAAACAGTCTCCGAGTATATCCATATAATCCAGGCGAAGAATTTCAATGGATCGGTTGCCATCATCTCCGGCCAAAGCTTTCAGCGACAAGGCCGCTCCCCACTTCACGTCACTCAAGCGCAATTCTTTCAAAGACGAGCTTCGGATCAAAGCCTGGGACAGCATTCCAACGGTCTCCTCATCCATGTCGTCCAGCATTCCAACGGTCTCCTCATATTCGTCGTTCACGTCGCACTTTTGGCCGCCTAAGTGCAATGTCTTTAATAGAGGAGCACCGTTGATCATGTCAACTACATGCTTCATCCCACTCGAGTCCACCCTTGTATTCGTAAGCTTTAGAGACTCGAGTTTAGAATCGTAATTTCCTCTCAGTCCTGATGCGAGATTCAAGAAACATCTGGCAGTCATCTTGCAATCTAAATCTTCTATCTCCAATTCTTTTACTTCAGAGGAATTTACAATTCTCCCCAGCTGTAAGCACAAGCTCTCCACTTCCGCATCTGAACTCCATTTCAAAGCAGCAACCCGCATCGTTTGTAGACCGTTACAACCTCTCAGAAGAACCTCCCACTCGCTAGCGGTGAACCTCGATATATCTCCCTCACAAGAAAAATTTAGGCTCAGATACGAGTATCTGGCGATTCTAAGTGCGATTGCCTCCAGCACTCGAAGGCGCACTTTGCTTCGCCACCCTGTGATCGTCGAGAGCGATGCACTCTCCGGAAAGAACTCCAGAAATCCTGGATCACGTATATGTAAGGTGGGTGCATATGCGGTTGTGTCTTCCAGACGCCGTATAAGGTCCTGGACAGCAGACGGAAGCTCCGGTTCCTCGTCTTTCTCGCTCACGTAAGACGTCTCTGGTTCCTGGTGTGCAGAGTCCATTCCCCGTGTCTCGGCATCGTGACTGACAATGGACGCACCTGCAACTTCCATTCTCTCCTCAACTCCCACAGAGGAAGAGGAAGAAACGTTGGACGCAACTGCACCTTCCAATCTCTCCTCAACTCCCACAGACGAAGAGGAAGAAACGTTGGACGCAACTGCACCTTCCAATCTCTCCTCAACTCCCACAGAGGAAGAGGAAGAAACGTTGGACGCAACTGCACCTTCCAATCTCTCCTCAACTCCCACCGAGGAAGAAACGTTGGATGCAATTGCACCTTCCAATCTCTCCCCAACTCCCACAGAGGAAGAGGAAGAAACGTTGGGCGCAACTGCACCTTCCAATCTCTCCTCAACTCCCACAGAGGAAGAGGAAGAAACGTTGGACGCCACTGCACCTTCCAATCTCTCCTCAACTCCCACCGATGAAGAGGAAGAAACGTTGGGCGCAACTGCACCTTCCATTCTCTCCTCAATTTCTACGGAAGAAGAAAAGTTTGCTGCTTGGCATGCGCGAGCAAATGTGACCGGGATTACAGGAGCCCCCTCCTTGATCCGCAAGCACGCCTCACCTGAAGAAAACTAAACTTTCCGTCGCAATGTCACAACACAAATCATGTGCATGTGCGTGCTGGCATGAGAATTTTTGCACTCTGCATTAGCAGTGACAAAGATTACTCCAACCTCTTCACAAAATCGTATCAATAGCAAAAAACACAAACGCAGGAAGATTGTGCATAGTGGAAGCATGAGGCTACACTACAAGCAATGTGAATCTAAAATAAAGGTGAGACCAGGATTCCGTTTCAAAGCGAAAATCTAAACCGTGTGCAAAGATGATTTCATTTCTCTTCGTAAGCCTATTTCAAACTCAACGGAAAGAGTTTACTTCATGCTCACTGGTGATCCAACTCTGCAGGAATCTGAAATCCAAAACACTCTGGTAGCAAAGATGGTGCGATGTGTAGGCAGAATGTCATGGAATGCATATGTGAAGTACTCTTGTGTAAAACTGGATGTACATCTGGAATAGGAGAATGCAAATCTAGCTGCATCAAGACCCACAAGAAGAAATACCTTACGATGGTCGTGGAAAAAGAATGCAGTGTCTTCAAGCAGATCCTCTCATTGAATCGTATGAGCGATCGAGTTAACGACAACATGCGACTATGTGATTGGAAAATGTGTTTAGAAGGTCAGAGTAAATCTTGACTCTCTCTTGCAAGCGAACAAGATATTTGAATGCATCAGTGTGCTGGTACTCTCGATGTCGTCACGCTACAATAGAGATTTCACACTTAATCTTTGATTTAATTGCTTGAATCTTTGATTCAAGCAAGTGGATGTATTATGACAACTGAGAGGCACGTGGGTTGTCACCTCGGTGGACAAATCCTGTTTTGCATTTTTCTTGATTTGAAGATCGGAACAGCAGTCTACAGTAATCCGCATAACTCGTAGGTTCAGAAAAAACTGATCAATTTTCTGGACTAACCTAATCTCGAAGAACTGTGTACATAGTATACGAGGCTCGAGGTTTTCAACTGCTGGTATGACTGTTCTTCTACCACAACTGTTCTAATATCCGAGTACTAATACCAGAGTCTGGAGTTCATTCGACCCCAAATCTTAAAATGAAATCAGATTTCGTCCGAGCTAAGAGCGCTCCTGCTTGTTTATCACGTCGCATAGAACACGATAGAACCAGCATGATACTTGCTAAGGTCAACATCAATCCTCTCAAGATTTTACTTATTTCGAACTTGCTTGCAAGAGACGAAAAACTGTGTTGTGCACTTGAGATGAAAAATACTTCATATGCTAAATGTTAGATAACAATAAGTCATGAATCCAGAAGACAAAAATATCCAGGGAAGTTTAAATAATTGATATTTCTGAACACAATTGAAACAAACTATACTTTTTAGACGACGGAATTCGTTCCTTCTTGTCTATATCATTTCCAGTCCCTGTTGTGGCCAAATAGTCCATAAGATCCAGTCATTTACACGATGGATTCATTCCTCCTTGTTCATATCATTTCCAATGCATTTGTCTGATTATGATAGTTTAGATTCGCCCTTGCCTGCAAATGAAATGGCCATTCTGCAGAAAGTCTGGCATCCCATCATAATCATAATGTACTGGGACTATCCCTGTGGCCAAATAGTTCATAAGACCCAGTCATTTACACGATGGATTTGTTCCTCATTGTGTATATCATTTCCAATGCTTTTGTCTGATTATGATAGTTTAGATTCGCCCTTGCCTGCAAACGAAATGGCCATTCTGCAGACAGCCTGGCATCCCATTTTAATCATAATGTACTGGGACTATCCCTGTTGTGGCCAAATAGTCCATAAGACCCAGTCATTTACACGATGGATTCGTTCCTCCTTGTTCATATCATTTCCAATGCTTTTGTCTGATTATGATAGTTTAGATTCGCCCTTGCCTGCAAACGAAATGGCCATTCTGCAGACAGCCTGGCATCCCATCATAATCATAATGTACTGGGACTATCCCTGTTGTGGCCAAATAGTCCATAAGACCCAGTCATTTACACGATGGATTCGTTCCTCCTTGTTCATATCATTTCCAATGCTTTTGTCTGATTATGATAGTTTAGATTCGCCCTTGCCTGCAGACGAAATGGCCATTCTGCAGACAGCCTGGCATCCCATCATAATCATAATGTACTGGGACTATCCCTGTGGCCAAATAGTCCATAAGACCCAGTCATTTACGGGATGGATTTGTTCCTCATTGTGTATATCATTTCCAATGCTTTTGTCTGATTATGATAGTTTAGATTCGCCCTTGCCTGCAAACGAAATGGCCATTCTGCAGACAGCCTGGCATCCCATCATAATCATAATGTACTGAGACTATCCCTGTTGTGGCCAAATAGTCCAGAAGACCCGGTCATTTACAGGATGAATTTGTTCCTCCTTGTGTATATCATTTCCAATGCTTTTGTCTGATTATGATAGTTTAGATTCGCCCTTGCCTGCAAAGGAAATGGCCTATCTGCAGACAGTCTGGCATCCCATCATAATCATAATGTACTGGGACTATCCCTGTTGTGGCCAAGTACTCCATAAGACCCAGTCATTTACACGATGGATTTGTTCCCCCTTGTGTACATCATTTACAATGCATTTGTCTGATTATGATAGTTTAGATTCGCCCTTGCCTGCAATCGAAATGGCCATTCTGCAGACAGCCTGGCATCCCATCATAATCATAATGTACTGGGACTATCCCTGTTGTGGCCAAATAGTCCAGAAGACCCAGTCATTTACACGATGGATTTGTTCCTCCTTGTGTATATCATTTCCAATGCTTTTGTCTGATTATGATAGTTTAGATTCGCCCTTGCCTGCAAAGGAAATGGCCTATCTGCAGACAGCCTGGCATCCCATCATAATCATAATGTACTGGGACTATCCCTGTTGTGGCCAAGTAGTCCATAAGACCCAGTCATTTACACGATGGATTTGTTCCCCCTTGTGTACATCATTTACAATGCATTTGTCTGATTATGATAGTTTAGATTAGCCCTTGCCTGAAAACGAAAGCTGAAATGGCTATTCTGCAGACAGCGTGCCATCCCATCATAATCAAACTGTACTGGGACTATCCCTGTTGTGGCCAAATAGTCCATAAGACTCAGTCATTTACACGATGGATTTGTTACTCATTGTGTATATCATTTTCAATGCTTTTGTCTGATTATGATAGTTTAGATTCGCCCTTGCCTGAAAACGAAAGCTGAAATGGTTATTCTGCAGACAGGGCATCCCATCATGTTCACAATGTACCAGGACTATCCCTGTTGTGGCCAAATAGTCCATAAGACTCAGTCATTTACACGATGGATTTGTTCCTCGTGTGTATCATTTCCAATGCTTTTATCTGATTATGGTTCTTCAGATTCGCCCTTTCCGGGAGACAAAAGCTGACATGGGTATTCTGCAGACAGCGTGGCATCCCATCATAATTGTAATGTACTGGAATTATCCCTGTTGTGGCCAATTAGTCCATAAGACCCAGTCATTTACAGGATGGATTTGTTCCTCCTTGTGTATATCATTTCCAATGCTTTTGTCCGATTGTGATAGTTTAGTTTCGCCCTTGCCTATATCGAAAGGTTAAATATACATTGGGTAGACAGTTTGGCATCTGATAATATTTTTCCAGGAACAAGCCATCAAAAATGAAAAATTAGCTACAATGTTCGAAGTCAACTGTTCTGGACATTATGTTGCATATTTCTTCCCTGTTCCACTTTGGTTGCAGTTGCAATTGTCAGCACGATGTTCAGACATAATCTTCGCCTGAACAATACATCCATTTACCTGCAGTAGCTTTCAAGATAGTCTACCAGGAAGGGTTTCAGGAAAGTACAGAAGATTTTATGCTTCAGCACAGTTCAGAAGATTTTATGTCAGTTTCGAGAGTCTTGATTTCTTCGAGAGGCGATAATAATAGGACAAAGCTGAAATTAACAAACCACTTCCTCAAGCCATCGCCACCACCCAAAATATCGCCCTGAGATGATAGAGAACATGGAAGTTTTTGTCTTCTTCTCGCCAAGAAACTTGATGACAAAGTATCATCGGGATTGGAGCCATGAGGAAGACGACATTTACTTTGCATGATGAGGTTGACATGGTAAACTAATGGATTTGCAACTTTTGTGCAAAAGTGTGCACAAAAGTAAGAAGTCATCCGATGAAATGAAAAAGTTTACGGAGGAATAACCCATACGATGACATAGCTAGAACTGAAACTTAGGAATAAAGTTAGAGAGTTGTAGTGTAGATCAAATGCTTCCAAATGATGATGCAACAAAGTTCAGAAAACAGTGGAGATTTATGCACAATTGTTAGTTGTATCGGTGTGATGCATTCAAAGAATACGGGTTAGGTTAGATGAGGTATCGTGCACATGAATAGTGCAACACAACATATCTCACTGGCATTTGAAACATCACCAAGCACAGTCTTTCATTCACAAACACAAGTGTATCACAAGCATGTCCATATGTGTTACACTGGGTGACCATCTAGTCCATAACCCTATGTAAGCTTCTGGATGCGAAGACCGGGAGCTATAGTGCTCAATCGATATGATGAAAAATCATCTTCCCTGCTTGGTAATTGCGTTCTGTACATTAATACTTTCTGCTAACACTGCGTCAAGAGGAGTTGTCAAATATGAAATATGTCAACCTCTCAGATAATAATCATAAATCAACATAGTTGACGCTGCACCAGCAAATCCACATAATAAACATCTTCAATCAACTATGTTCATGTGAGGCTAGAATCCATGGTATGATCGCTGTTTGATTTTTGACATGGTTCTCAATCACACACATGATCGTGAAAAGAAGATAAAAAGTCAATCACTTGTACAAGTTTCCTAGTAGGAGTGACATCTCAATGATGCACTCTAATACAAATCCACGGTAGAAACCAGCATGAAATTGTAATAACCCACTAAAGGCTAAAACTGCAATATAGTGGTAGAAAGGTCAAACCCACAGGGACAGAGAAACACACAGGGTACAAAGTGTCACGTTTAACAGACTATTGAGGAGTTTGAATTCTCAGGCGACTGTCACTCCCAGAAATACTGCAAGTGTCCACTCGGAGCGCACTCGGAGGTCGCACAGTGCACCGTAACACACACACACACACACCTGAAACTACAGAAACACAACCCAGAGATCCGTTAGGACCTCTACTTCAAGATTTCAGGGAGAAAGTCTCTCGCGAGCACACTCAGCGAAGCTGCGGGTAGTGACTTCCAACTCCGGCTTTTACAACACTTCCACTAGCTTGCTGCTAGTGTAGGAAACCCGGTTTGGACTGCCTACTTCGGATCGAAGTCACTCATACGCGGTGAACAACACTCTCAACTCACAAAACGCGCAGAGAACACAGGTCCGCACTGAAGGACTCACTGAGAAACATTTCAGTAACACAACAACAGTCTATTGAAGAATTTGAATTCTCAGGCACTTGTCATTCCCAAAAATACTACACGGGTTACCCTGAAGGCACCTGCTGCAGCGTAACCTGAATTTACAACCAAGGCTTACATGAAGTAGCAAAACTTCACTTTGGCATTCAGGGGAAAAATCCCGAAGGAGTACAATCAGAAACAAACACTCGAAGGTATAG